AGGCCGGCTAGATCAGGCATGATCACAGCCGTAACAAGTACAAGTACAAGTCATATAGAGGCTGCCTCCAGGTAGCGCAATGTACGAGTTGTTCTTGCCCGAACATTTACTCGGAAGGATGTTTTGGGGTCCACAGAATGGCTCGTATCCAATAGGTTTTCAGTGATGGAAGAACGGAGAGTCCTATTCTCCTGTTTTATGCAGCGAGAGGACGCAGCTGATGAGCACGCGCGAAATTTATGGTTCCATTGAATTCTGCTGTATACGCAATGTTCCAGTTTGCACCTGGGAAAAGATGCTTCAAATTACACGCGTTTGTTGTCCTCTTGTCGTGTTCTTCCTTGGGGGACTCACACGAGACGTAATTAGGCGGTGACATCTCAGCCTTGGCTACTGTTGCAATAGCTAGGACTTTGGACGTCTAACCAACAGGTCATGACATTGAGCCTCAGGAATTGCAAACCTCGGAGCTAGGTACCACTGACTGATGACAGATAGTCAACCAACAATGCCTTTGTCTTTGCTGGTAATGAATTTTCTGCCTTCATCATTAACCGCTGTTGGTAGGGCTCTATATTGAGCCTTAATGTACAACAGAACGTGTGAGTGTCGTAACCGGACCGCTGACGGGATTTACTGTCTTGTTCTGCCTTGGGCCTCGACAGAGCCTCTGACAACCGTAACAGCTGGTTGTATAGGCAGATAGTATTGTCGGAAAAGACAAGGAAGGAGACTGGAATGGCAATTTCTGGATTATTAGCAGTCGTCAGCCACTTATACTCAAACCCAAGTGGTAGCCCACCCGAGCCTCGAACTCGCGACCTTTTGATAAGAGCCAAATGCCTTAACCATTGAGCCACGAGCTTTGTCACTTTTTTATACTCATTTGGTATCGAATACTGTTTTCTTTAAATGTTATACCTAACTAAAGGCTATCTTCGTGGTTTTTCGTAACTTATTTAACTGCTCAGTGGTTTTGGACCTGATGTGCCGTTACACTCTATGCTGTATCAATTCCGTCTACGAAAATGCACAAATTTCTCTACGTTATTCGGAAGACATCACACAGTACTCATAATATCTTAAATCTTTTGTGGACAATACTGTACACTCTATAAGCAGTATTAATACATGGACTAATAAAGTGCTTTATGGAGGACCCTTTCAGTGTCCTTAAAACCCTCATTGTTAGGAAATACCACTTCAATTATAAACTGCAAGGGAGGCGTAATTTTGTATACCAGCAAATGCTTATAAGTATAGTTTTATATAATACATTTTAGCTTATAAGGGCATTGAAAAATCACATGTTTTTTTCACGGACTAAGCTTCGTGGACGTATTAATAATCAGATAAATTACATCGGAGTATCTGAGTCTGTTGTGACGGTTAGGAGCCAGCTAGCAGGCAGCTAGCATACAACAGCGAGCCGCGATCACGGCAGGCTATCGATCGGCCTACAGGCGGCTATGCATACTGGCAGTGAATCAATCAATAATTCAAAATCTAAGCTGCAGTTAGCCGTTGAGTCACAAGCCAATCGTACCGCTATCCATGCCAGGACAGACGCTGATTGGTTCACACAAAGCGTAATTGGGCGTTAACTCCTCGGCCTTGGCTACCGTTACAACAGTGACTTCAAAATCTCATTGCCCACGCATCCGCATTCCATCCGCATGCCTTAAATTCCTTTAGAAAGCAAGCCCCTTCGGGGATAAGCTTCCTGTCTAGGCCTGATTGTCCGCGCACACAACTTCATTTGTCCTGACAGAGGCAGTCTGACAATTCGCCTGTACCACAACGATTTCTTTAAGCATCAGCGCTTGTTTGTGTGCGAACTGAGC